TATATATATATATATATATATATATGCGGTATTGCGAGGGCGGTGCCGGGGAGAGGAGCTGTGGCTTGTTCGCGGTCACTAGTCCATGGCAGAACGAACGCGAAGGACAGCCGGCGAATAACATATTATTCGGTCGTCTGCAGCACCGCGCACGGGCCAGAAACACACCTGACACTTACGCAGATGGGGTCGTTGTCGTATCAGGTACTACAGATATGTACCCGAGGTAGTTTTAGGTTGTTTATTATTAAACAAGGTTAACCCTAACCCTAACGCATGCACGCACGCCCGCATGCACGCACGCCCGCACGTACGCATGCACGCACGCCCACACGTACGCATGCACGCACGCCCGCACGTACGCACGCACGTACGTATGCGCGCACGCATGCATGCACGCACGTACGCATGCACGCACGTACGCACGCTCTAAAAAAGTTGTCACTGCAGCAATGAATCTTTAAACAAGCTTGCTGCTGCAGTAACATAACCTTGTTCTCACAATTAAAACTAATACGAAACACGGATGACATTGTACCGTTTTTGGCGTTTTTTCTAACCGCGATTGTCTATAATTAAATTGACACAGCAAAGGATTTAACAGGCTTTGTCCTTTCTTGACGATTTTACTTTTTGCACGCTATGACGTCAATAAAACTCGGTCGCGTGTAAAGCTGCGCTCTGAATTGCAACATCAACGGTAGAACCGTTCTAACGATAGCTTTCATGGTTTATTGCGAAGAACTCGCGGTTAAGTTTAAGGTTTATTGCCCGCATTTTTGGAATTGCGCGAACGTTCACGCCTACTTTATCCACGTTTACGCTTACACGCCCGGCCTTGTCTGCAAATATGCGAACACATAATGGTTACACACAGCGACGCGTCCAGTTGTTAGCGTGCTCGTCGCTCTAACGAACCAAGCTCGAATCAAGATCAATAACGAAGCTCCGGAGTCGTTCACCTAGAACTCCGAACAGGGTTTCAAAAATACGTCCAAAGTTTTCTTGTAATTATTCTAATGTCAATTTCAGGGTTGTTTTTCTACTTCTTGATATCACTAATTTCCAATCACGAATGCCAGTGTTTTCTAACGCATTCGCAGCTACTATATTATGACATAACGTAGCCACATTTGCAGGACACGCCCGCGCGCGAGTTTTTAAATCGTAGGATGGCGACTGAAGGATAGGACGGTAACTGATGGTGACGTAGGATAATGACTGATTAGGGTTAGGGTTAAGGTTAGGGTTAGGGTTAGGGTTAGGATTAGGGTTAGGGGCAGGGTATTAAAGCACGAATAATTTATCAATCTTCAGTCGCCATCCTACGATTTAAAAACTCGCCGCCCGCGCTAACAACTAAGGCAATGGTGGGTGGCACAAAAGGAATTCCCTCCAGATGGCGCTACCATAAAAAGCATTAAATAGAATTAAAATTAAATACTAAATCATGACCCACGACGTTCTTTCTAGCTTATTCCAGAGTAGGCCTGCATTGTTCATTAAGCAAACACGCACAAGGCTGATAAATTATGTCACTGGAGCAATCATTAGTATAACTGCACAGTCTGCCAGGTGTAATAAGACAGGTATTTAACAAGTGCAAAAAAACAAAACAATTAACAGTGCAGGTAAATATGTTACGAGGTATATATTCTACTGAAGGGGAACTGTATACATACATATGTCACATACATGTATACATACATCACGCGGGGAAATGTTTTAAGACATCTACATAGTGATACAGTAAACTTGTTTTGTTAATTCGCATCTGAGGTTAGAAAGTTCCCCTAGCTTCATTATTGGACACGTCTCCACTGACGATCACAGAACGATCACCACCGAATTTCCATGCATCTTGAAAAAATATAGCCTGACTGCCCGATCACTACCGCTTCCCTCTTTTCTGTACGTAACTCTCCGTTTTTCCAAACTCTATTGCAACTTATCGCTACCAGTATTGCTATATACGTTAATTCGATTAGGAAACAATCAATGATTTTTAAGCACTAAGTTTATGTCGGCATCAAATTTCCTACCAACACAAATGTCATACCATGCGACAACATGAACGTAATTACAAAAATCATCACTCTCACCCCCGCCAAGTGACAACATTGATAACGTGGAGCCAGGTATGGATATACATCAGGAGTAGATAATAGGAGTAGATAGTCCCTATTATCTACTCCTGATATACATCGTAATGACAGAGAGCAAACAAAGTAAAAAAAAATCGGGACAGAGAAACAGACGACTCGTGAGCTTTCACACACGGGGCAGGGGAGCAGCAACGGTGTAGCTAAACCAGCACTACCTGCGCGTGCCGCAACATTGTTCCAAGCACTCGCCATGCAGGGCCATTAGGCAGCAGGCCCCAGACCTCCCAGCCACATATGGATGCTAGGCACCCGCAGACCAAGTTACAGAGAGGAAACGCAAACGATACTCGTATTCTTTACGCCGTTATTCAGGTTTCCCAGTGAAGAATATCTACAATCACCTCGTCATTTGTGATTACGATGTTAAATGATCAGGTTAGGGTGCGTGGGGGTAAAGAGGAATGGTGGGCTCTTCACTGTACGAAAAAGTAGTGAAGCACTCTACTGTAAAATAAGTACTTGGACGCTCACTAATGTAGTGAGAGAGCACTAGTTTACCCTCCACTGTCTAGCACAAAAACACCATCCACGGTAAACGTGTACTTTGCCCCTAACTACTCCACATATCCACTACACATCCGCCATTCTGCTGCACGTATCGTCGGGACAGCCACGCTAAAGAGATGCCACCGGGTGCTGCGACGCATCCGTCTAGTTGAGATCATCACATCGCCATCATGCGCTGAATGTCATCAATAAGTCGCTGGTTGTACTCACACCAGTTGACCGGCTGTGCCATCATGCAAACGGTCTTCAGCCTGGACTCGTCCTGAAACGTCACAACGCAACACGCCGTTATAATTACCAATCACAGTAACTACGCTCAATGTCACCTTCAATAACGTACGGATTAATTGTTTAAATCTTAGTGTAAATAGCACCATAAGAAACACGTGTTAGTTTTCGACGTTTAGAGTGACGTAAACAAAATGTATTAGCAAGTGCGATCAACAGGTAAAAATAAAAAATGGTAGATTGTTGTCTTTACCGACGTTGCGACAAATTTTTATCACATGTTATTGTAACACTGGTCATATATCAATGTGCATACACCATCACGCAACCAGACACGATAGCAAGCAAAGCGACTTACGTTGTACGTTTCCATTTTTGTCCGAAGTTTGAATATGTGTGGTTTAAAGGTCGCCTCTGTGAAAACCTGGTGGAACTTATCCTCATCCTGAAGAAAAAGCTTTTTAATGAGAGATTTGCCGTCGCTCCACATCACATTTCTAATGATAAATACTTGATCCTCAGTTTTACCAGGAAGAAGAAATTTGCTCTCACTTTACAGAACGTTTCCGTTCCAATCTCGATCACAGATTGTGATAATCGAACTTAAGAAATCAAGAAATATACGATAGCTCACGTCTGTTTTGTACGTTCCCAAAGCACTAGCATCGACTCCCAGCACCTGTGCACCGGCGTCAGAGAAGCAGGTCACCCAAGCACTATCCGTGAAGTCTGCCAGGTTCATCTGTGAGGGAGGAAACGTTACCACACACCTGCGAAGCCTGCTGGGTTTTCTGTAGCAGTACTCAGGCTACCATGCACGATCACTGTGATACCTTACGTTGCAATATGATACATTACATGACAACACATCACATCACATTACGATTGTTAGGAGTTTCCACCATAATATTACTGAAGTACTTATATACCCCCTACAGGTCCTTTACTGCCTTAACCATAAATTATTACCATAGACTTACAGAAAGCAACATGCGCCACTTGAAGCTATCAAAGTCTTTGGCACATTTCTCGCATCTGAACGTGTTATCACCATTGTCAATCACTTTCTTGTTGCATTGTTCTGTTGGACACGCCTACAGACAAAGCAGTTAAAGTTACAACCAGTAACCACCAATAGCACACTCAGTACATGTATTCTACATTCGTAGTTAATCTTTTTCACTCATCATCTGTACAAACACTAATGTTTACATAAGTTGACTCTCCAGTAATATTCAGACAGCCTAGCAACACACTCGTGCAGATGAACTCATGATGTTGTAGACTATGTTTGGCCACATTCGTTCGAACCTGATAGAGGCAGTTCTCCTTTCTGAAGAAGACAGCTGTAGCCTTTACACTGAAATAGTCAGGCTTGTCACCGTGTCCAAGATTCTCCGTCTTCATCTCCATGAATGTTTTCCAGTTTGCGGGGCCGCCTAGCAGACAGAGAACCACATACAGTAAACCTCGCATAAGTCGACACTTTTGTGACGAGTATTTTCGTGTCGACTTACGAAAATGACGACTTTTTTGACATTTTTACAAAAGCCGGTATTTCGACGACTTGGATAGTGCCAAGCTGATATTTCGCCAGGCTTCATATATTTATGAATAATTAATATGATCTCTTCGGGTTGCGTCTCTGCTTTCTAGTGTTATAATATATCTCTCTCTATATATAGTACATGCGGCCCGTTATAGCGCGATCTACAGCGACGACTTACAGAATTATGAAATTACTGTTGTTTGTGATTACATAGGACCTGTCCTGAGAGTGTCCGACTTACACATTATAATACGGCTGTTAATGACGACTTAAGCGGCATATGACTTAGGCGGGGCTATTCCAATGGATTTATTATGAGAGGAAATCGGGACTTTGACTTCCATGTCGACTTACGCGAATTGACGAGTTAGACGATGACGACTGATGCGAATATAGCGCTTCAGAAGACATTGCTATACAAGCACAATGTTACTAGATTTCCTTCGCAGAATACAATCACCTCCCACTCTAAGTTTCCCCAATCTCTTCTCCTAGCACAACTGCTCGACCAATACAGTTTCTCTCTACTTTAACACTTTCCTTCTGACGCTAATACTGCTCTACCTCCTTCTGCTCCACCTCTTCCTTTTTCAATTCCTCCTATTCCCGTTCCACCTCATTTTAATCCTCATCCACCTCTTTTTACTCTTCCTCCTCCTTGTCCTTCGCTTCCCATATCCTTCTCCAACTACGTACACTTCCTCCTCCTCCTCTTGCAGTTCATCTCCCACCTCCTTCAGCGAGCTGAATTTCTACTACTACCCCTGCTCTACTCACGCATCACCCCCACCCCTACGCGACTTTACCTCCACCCCCTCCGACAAGGTTGGACAAACTCTGTGTCTGGGTGTTCAATCCTTCAGTGTCCCACCAACCACGCAGCTTGTGTGCTTCTTCAATGTCTGGGTTGATCATGAGTGTACTGGACATGAGCACAGACAGTGACACACCTGCATGCATAAGAGGTTAGATCGGACATTAGCAGAATCAGCCAAACACCTTTACACACCAGAGTATATAGACCAAGGGCCCGTTGTCAGAAACAAAATTAGTCTTAACATTAGTCTTAACATTAACTTTTTCTCTTAAAATGTTGACAGAAACAGTGCAAAGTTACCTGAATTAAAAATCGTAGCAGATTTCCTCATAACAATACGAAACAAGGTGCTGTCGACAGTCTATGAGAAAATGTTAGTGTTAAGACTAATGTTAAGACAAATTTTGTTTCTGACAACTGGCTCCTGATATTAGCATGGACATTAAAACAAATGTAAAAATTATTACATGTTACATGTAAAACCTTATTATCTCAACATTCCATAACATTACCTCCAAAGTCGGAAACACGTGCTCCTTTGACGGCAATTACCGGCATGTTATCGGCATTGAATTTCTCCGCCTGTGGATAGAAGAATTCACGCCATTAGGATCCGAGAGGGTATTTGCACACAAGCAGCACTAGACCGACTACGTGAGCTTTCATCGTCAGAGATACTAATATCAAATCCAAAGGACTGACTTTAAAGATCATTAAAAACCAGTAAATCATAGTGTGCAAACTGCAGCAAACACAGTAGTTTGGTGCACAACTGCTATAGTCATTACCCTAACACAAAGTGCGTAGTCAACATCCTCATTGGTAGTTAGTTGCATCGGGTTAGTAATACATCACGCTACACGCATACAAGCATCAGTGCCTCAACGTATTTCAACGTGGTGGGTCTATTTCTACACTTCTGTACATAGTCACACGGTCACCTCTTCTCCCCAGATGGTCAACCGGACCTCCGTTTGCGTGCCATCGACCAACGTGATGTCTCGCTTCGACAGTTCTCGGTTTGTGGTCTTGGTCATGATTGTTGCCAAATCTCCTGCACTTTTGCACACGCCGACAACATCTGCAAGGCAGCCGCTAGGTTATTCATTTCGAGCCAATTTTAAGATAGAATTTGGATGTTTGGGGTAAACAGTCTGACTTACGGGATCATGGTAATGGGTGTACGACACAGATTGAGTACAGTGAGGATGGTTAAATATGATCAAGGCAGGTGGCCATGGTTTGTTGGCAATTAGAGAAGCAGTTTATAAAGCATATAACATATTAAGTGATCGCACAACCGCCAACCCAAGCCACACGTTATTACTAATAACTACCATAGACCCTGCATACAATAATAGAATAGCAGTCTACACCAACTGAAAGGTGGTGCCACCAAGTGAGCATAATAGAAAACATTAGTATACAGGAATCAGCAATACATATATATGCTAATGATTTGTATTACTGCTAATTTAGTTTGCACATGGGACACGTGAAAATAAAAATGAACAATATTATCAACATTACTGTACTGTGCAAACATCAAAGTGAAAACAACCACTTGTATCCAATCGTTACAGTGGTAGACTGTAGTGCAACAGCCATATTATCAAGATATCGTTGCCGAAATTCTGCACAAGCACCCACCTAGCTATGATGCACAATGAAGCCTAACTACAGTCAATACAGTATTGCATAGATACCACACAAGCAACTATCTACAAGTGCTGTGTGATGACTATAGCACCATCTACGTTCACTCACCAATCATCGCGTCCTTCTGTACTTTGGCCAGTTCACTGATCGGCACAAAATTGAAGCTCATTTTTGGAATGTTGGCAGATTCGTCCATACATAGCGTCACCTCTGTGTCTCTGCTGAACGTCATCTCATAGTCATTCTTGATGGTTGTAAAGTTCTTATTGGCTGTCTTCAGCTGTGCTTTAGATATGATGTATACCTACAATGTGATGGAATCAATGCAATTTAATGCAAAGTAACTTGATGTAAAATGTGATGGAAAGTAAAGTAATGTGTGACGGAATGGAAGATAACAATTATCTATAAGATCTAATATGATAATATTGTGAGATATATTATCTATTAACATCACCTTGTCCAATTCCAACATGTCGAAATACTTGTCGCACTCCTGGTTGAATGCTGTCGCACGTATCTCTCCACTCTCATCAATCAGGTCTAAAGAGAACAGTTTTCCGTCACCGCGCGAATTCGACCAGGTTCGTATA